CCACTAGGGAGAATGATTTGGAAATAGCCCATGATAAAGTTGAAGATGAACACACCCTATGGCCCAGAAATTCCACCCCAGAATCTCTCATATAATACGTGTACTGGGAAACATTTATAAGAATTTTCACAGCAGGTGAATTGTGCAAGACTGTTGAATCACAGACCTGTACCTCTGAAACAAATAATACATTATATGTTAAAAAAAGAAGAAGAAGAAGAAGAAGAAGAAGAAGATAGTAGGAGGGGAAGAATGAAGGGGGGGAGATCGGAGGGGGAGATGAACCATGAGAGACGATGGACTCTGAAAAACAAACTGAGGGTTCTAGAGGGGAGGGGGGTGGGAGGATGGGTTAGCCTGGTGATGGGTATTAAAGAGGGCACGTTCTGCATGGAGCACTGGGTGTTATATGCAAACAATGAATCATGGAACACTTCACCTAAAACTAATGATGTAATGTATGGTGATTAACATAACATAATAAAAAAAATAATTTTCACAGCAGAATTCTTGTATTAGCAAAATTCTGGAAATAACCTAAATGTCCATTATTCACAGCCACATAATGAAGTAATATACCAGACTGAAAAACAAGTGAAATAGAGCTACATGTATCCACATGAATGACTCCCACAGACTTCATCTTAAGCAGAGAAAGTGAACTGCAGAAGAACACAGGTGAGGTGCAGGTATACGCAGGTGCTACCCTGCACATACAGTCGAAAAGCATGCAAAGCAAACTATGCATTGTTTAGGGATGCAGATATATGTAGTGAAAGGATGACAGAAGGGCTGGGGATCATAAACACCAAATTCAAGATAATGGTTAACTCTGGCAGAGAAGGGAGTGAATGAAAGGCAGGCATCCTCTGGGAGCTTCAACTCTATTGGTGTTTTAGCTCTTACACTGGGTGGTTAGCACCTAGGCTTTATTTTCTTATTCTTTGTTCCTTCTGTCTGTTTTAAATATTTAATAACTATTTTAAGGAAGTGAAAGGAGAAGAAGAAAAACTTCTGGAGGTTTCCAGGGAAAATGAAGAACAACGTGGATTGCTGGACTCCATTGACAGTTTTATTCCTCGTCATTCCTTTCTGCCATTTTGACGCTCAAAAGAATTCAAACCGTTTGAAGTTTCTGGGGCTTCTCTGGTATCTAGGTTCATTTGATGGCAAGGTGCTTCCAAGAGCCAAACACCGGCCCTAAAAACCTCAGAAGAAGCTCCACTGAGAAACATACCAAATAAGCAATCAAGTGAACAGCCTTCCTATTAAGAGATTATGGGGATCAGGGCAAGTTTGGGTTAAGAGAAACTATAGTTTGGGTTTATAGAAACTATAAAACCTTGCCTCAAGAACATGCTCCCAGGTCATTTCGAGAAATCTTTCAGGGCAAAAGAAACAGTTGATTGTCTCTCTACCTTAAGAGAGGCTATCAAGGCCTCCTAGAGTATAGCAGAGTAGTGAACAGCCCTGGAAGGAAACAAACCCACGCTTGCATCCTGGCTCCCACTCACTAGGCTGGCTTTGCACAAGTTACTTCACATTTTGAAAGCCAGGTTTAGGCATCTGTAAGGCTGGATTGGTCAACCCTCAGAGTATGGTTATGAAGGCCAAAGGTGTTTGTAGATTAGAACGTGCTTGCACAGAGAAGGGTCCTCAGAGTTCCAGGGAAGATGGGCTCTGTCATCTGTCTTGGGACCAGATTCCCTCGGCACTGCAGACCCAGTCCAAAAAGGGCTCTTAAAGAGATCATGTCATCCTCCTGAATACATTTCCTTAGGCTTCTCAGAAGCTCTTTCTTCCAAATCCTCAACACCAACACCAGGACATGAGTACCTACTGGATCACCCATGGTGGAGGTGAGGAGCCCTCTCTGCTGACACTAGAATCCCAGTCCCACAAAGTCATCTGGACAGTTGGTCAAAAGTCCCAGACACAGAGGCCTAAACCATTGTGAGTACAGTCTAAGATTATGGTCCAGATGGGGCAGGGGATGGCAGTAGGTAGAAGGGGACTATTTGTAACAACTTAGGGATGCAACTGAAATCTCAACCTCCAACCATTCACCGTGACCATATTTTCACCATTTTCCCGAATCCAATTCTTCATGAGGAGATTCCCTCTGTCTTCCTCTCTATCTTGCCCTTTCTGCCAAAATAGCTCTCCTTTGGGAACAAATAGTTCTGTTTCTTCTTTGGAATGCCTCTGGAAGCCAGGAACTCTTATCTCCCTCAACAACATTCTGGCCAGTGCTCGGAATGTGATTTACATTGCTGACCACCACGAGCACAGGAGAACAAAACAAAGGAAGGGCTTCCCAGTAGAGCACGAAGGGGGCGGGGCAGAAGGTTCTGCGGTGGGAGAGAAAGAGCGAGAGCAGAGTTTCTGGGGCAGCAAGGGGTCTGCCCCACTGCCCTCTCCTTCCGTACACAATGGGGAGCAGTGAACATGCCACTGCAATCCTGTCGTGGGCTGGGGGTGATGCAGTGGCGTCTGGAGAGGCTGAAGAGAGACGTGCTGCTCTTCTGGGATTTGTTGCTAGGACTGCAGGCTTCGGGGCTGAGTCACTCAACAGCGCTGGGTGCAAGCCAAGGAGTCACGGAAAGACTCTCAGGGTCACACATGCTGCCCTTGGCTTGCCAGCTCAGCCTGCTGGGGACCAGCCAGGGCTCGTTGGGCAAGGGGAGTGAGGCCCAGGAAGTCAAGACCTTTTTGCAACTATCGAGGTTATTTCTCCACTGGGGCAAGAAAGCATTCCTCTCCTGAGAATGGATTACAAAGCAAATTGTTCCTGCTTCTCTTCAAAGGCCAAGAAGGTTAGGAAACCACTCCTTCCTTCTCCAGAAAGCCTGAAAATTCAGGCAGATTGGTCTGCTCTAGATGGCCCCAGTGTGACATGCTACCCCCTTACCTTACTTGGCTCTCCGGGACCGCCCAACTGGCTGCAGGGTGGGACTCTCCTTCCTCTTTTATTTGCTGAGCTCCTACAACATTATAAATACACATTTGTCTGTGCATCTAGTTCCCAACACTGAACTCCTAGAGCCCTTTAAATTTCCCAAGTAATAAGGGAACGAGCAGCATCTTTTGTTCTGTTTGGTCTTTGATCCTGGCTCCTGACACAGGCCTCCTAAATCCCTTGGTTTCCTGGGTGACAGGAATGGTTTCTGTTCTAATAAGGTGACTCTGTGTGGGCTTCTGGATAGTTTCAGGATGGGGGCTTGTCACCAGAAAGACAAAGCTGTGACTAGAAGCTGAGAACTTTCAACCCAACCTCCATCATCCAGGAAGAGAGAAGGGCTGGAAATTGCATTAATAATTGATCATACCTATATGAGAAAACCTCCCCCAAAATCCTCAAGCCACAGGGTTTGGAGAGCTTTTGCACTGATGAACACACCGGGAGGGTGACACATCCCAACTCCACAGGGACTGAAACTCCTTCACTCTGGGACCCTTCCCAACCTTGCCCTGTGTACCTCTTCATCTGGCCGTTCATCTTTATCTTTTATCATATCCTGAATAATAAACCGGTAAACATAAGTAAATGTTTCCTCGAGTTTTGTGAGCCAACCCAGCAAATGATCAAACCTCCCCAGGGACTGTGGGAACACTCAACTTTGTAGCTAAGTCAGTCAGAAGTGTGGGGACCCTGGGGACCCACTGCTTGTGACTAGTGTCCTAAGTGAAGGCAGTCTCTTGGGACTGAGCCCTTAAACCTGATTCTAATTCCAGCTAGTTACTGTCAGAAACAACTTAAATTCTAGGACACTCAATTGGTGTCTGGAGAGTTGGAAAATTGGTTGGCGTGGGAAAAACACACACACACACACACACACATTTGGTTTCAGAAGCATGGTAAGTAAAGAAACCATTTTCCTTTACCCAGAGACCAACCCATGGGAAATTTCCTTAGAAATATTTTACTGGCAGTCGCTATAATGCAAAACAGAAGGGGTAACAAAAATAAAATAACAAGACCAAATATGCCAAGGTCTTGAGACATTTTACAAAGACCTTGAAGTTCCTGACTTCTAGCTTAGACATCAACCCTCCTGGTCCCTTCCAGGCCTCTAAGTGGACTCTTCTCGCTAACTCCTCCTTCCACCAGAACCTTCTATCTATCAAATGCTGAAGCTTTGTCCACACTCCCACTCCAGCCCCCTCGCCCTGGGCCCCTAGGTGTACAATCAGCCCCTAAAGAAGTCATTTACCCCTGCCTGCAGGGAAGTCATGAGAGGGAGCCCGTTCAGCCCCAAACTGAAACCAATCATCCGCCAAAGTGTAAACCGTCACTGTGCCTAGAAACCCAGACTGTTAAAGCTGAAACACCCTAAAGGAACATTAAATCTACCTTTCTCACTTTGCAGATAGAAAATGGGGTCCTGAGATAGGATCTCTGATCTAAAACCAATGCGAGTTTCTAGACTCCTAGTTGGATGTCCTTGAAAATGTGTCACACCACTCCCCTGCCTATTATTTGCTACCATTGTCAGACCAAAACAGAGCTAAGAAGAGGGGAACATTCGTCAAACAGAATGAAACTTTCCCTCAGGAACCTTGGGATTTCCCCCTAAGGCAGGTGCCTGGGAGACCCCACTTAAGACACCCTCCAGCTTCTCCTTGTGCCTTGCCCCCCTCACCATGGTCCAGCCCCAGAGGCCTTCTCTCAGATCCTCCTGCACACCCGCTCCTCTGGTCACCAAGCCCCAGCATGCTGTCCCTCTGCTGAGAGGCCCCCACCCCCTTCTCAACAGGGCTGTGTCCCATCCTCTGCCAGGCTCTCCTGGCCCCTCCACACCCCCCACACACACCCATATCCTCGCACTTCCCGGATCTGTCACTATTCCGGATCTTTGCTCCCCGGGTGTTTGCTCTGCCTCCCCCAGCCTGCCTGGGGGTTGCGTGGGACAGAGCCTGTGCCTGTCCTCGTCACCGCAGCACTGGAGACCCCAGTGCATGGCTGGCATGTCGGGCCTGTTCAGCAGACCTGGGGGATGGAGGTGGGAATGAGATGACGTCACAGAAGCAGGACACGGATGTTAAATACTTACAACTTTATTAGGAGCAGGCTGTTGTCCCTGCAGCAGCCAGCTCCCATGTATACACGGTATACACAGCCCAGCCAGTACCCAGTCCTTCCGTCCTTCTGCAGCACGTGGAATGCAAAAGAACCAAACACAAAAGGGGGCTCTGTAAGTGACAGTGTCTAGTGTCTTAGGGAGCCAACTCCCAGGCTGGGAACAACCAAGCCCCTCAGCTCGCCCCAGCCCCCTACTCCAGCACGGTGAGGCTCACGAGGTTGGACTCCTCCAATCAGTGCACACAAAGGGCAGAGGAGACAGGGGGCTCCTGAGCCCAGATCCTTACTGGTCCACACCCCATGGAAGAAGCTTCTGGAGCCCCCAGAATCTTCCTCGTCTTCTACGGACATGAGAACTTTTTATTCCATCACCAGAAACCTGTACCTCGAGGCTCGTCTCTGCTCAGGCTTGGAGAACATGGTTAGATTAGCAAAATGGTCAAAGATAAGACAAACCTCCCAAGTTGTCTTGGTCATACTTCTTTTAAAAAGGAAAAAAAGGAAAAAGAAAAACATCATGACAGAAAAGAGCATTTGAGGCCCAGCTTGTGTCAGGAACAAGATAGGCTGTCCCGTCTGGAAATGATTTATAAAGCTGCTCTGCTAGGGGACCAGTCACCCCCACTGATGGCAGCTTGCTTCCCACCCTCCCCATTCCCCTGCCCGTTCTGCACAGCCCCTGCGCCACCCTCTCCTCGTCGATGATGGGTGCACCAAGCACGGGGTGCAGTGCTATCGTCGGCTAGGCTAGCGGGGGTCCACATCTGCCCTGGCGCCCTGGGTCCCTTTGGATATTGCAGCCCCACGGTGTTCACCCATACAAGGAGGAAGATTCCTCCTCACTTCATTCTCCTGCCCTGCCTCAGAGATCCGCACGCCCTCTGCCCTGCTGTGGGAGCTCTGGTCAAGGGCTCAGCCCAGGGTTAGGCTGGGATTTTCGAGCACCATCCCAGAGGCTTGCCTGGGTGGCTGGTTTGTGGATTCTGGCTATTAGGGGAAGCCAAATAAAAGGACCGAACCCCCTTTCTCAGGGATGACACTGCTCCGATGTCACCTCACTAAAATCCAGGACATGTTACCTAACTCAGAAGCAGAATCTCCCATGTTCATGCTGGAGTGGCTGCACCCTCAAGAAATACCCTGCTTGACCAAAGGCTCTCTAACCCCAAACCATCTGCCCACTTGGAGCTATAGGAAACACCCTGGTTTCTACATCCCCAGCACGTCTCTAGGATAGACACATGTTCCGACTGGTGGCTGCCAAGTGCCTCTGGGTCAGGCCATTGATTCTTGTGTCTCCTGAAACCTGTCCCCAAGGCACCTGAAGAGAGAGGTCCTGCCTTCATAGTTGGAGCCCCAGTGGGTGGCCAGGCCATAGGGAGCTCGAAGCCATGTGCCACACACTCATCTTTGTGTCTGGACAGCTCAGTCTGCAGAGGACAACAGCCAGGTCTGCTGGAAGCACCAGGGTCACCACTGGCCCAGGGGAGGGACAGGTGTGGATACCCAGAGAGCATAGCCTGAGGTAGCAAACAGTGAACCCGGTTATCCAACTGCAACGCCATGTGATGTGCCCAAAGCCAGACCACATGTAGCTGTCCAGATGAAGACCCACCTACAGGCATGTGGATGTTCAGCACCTAGCCCTCCTGGGCATCTCCCACATCCCTCTTAGTGGGGACAGGACCGTGGCCACTCTGAAGGTTCTCTGGGGCAACACAGAGCCTAAGGCAGCAGTCCTATTTATACCTGCCTCTCTGGAGGAAGAAGCCATTGGAACTGGGGCCTCCTCCCCAACCCAGGGTGATATTCCCCCAAAGCTCAAGCCCAGCCCCGGTGACAGCCTCTAGGCCACTCCTCAAACTCCCTGCTTCACCACAGAATCCATCATCCCTTATATCTTTTTTTAACAGTCCAATCCCTCCTGAAGAAGGCAATAAACTCCCTATCGACTTCCTGTACCTATTTGCAAAGCCTCAGAGGGCACGTACTTGGGAAGCCCTCCCCCCCAGCCTGATGTCCTGGACAACACAGGAAGAAGAGGGGGCTCTTGAGGGAGGGCCAGGAGTAGAAGGAAGATGAGCAAGCTCCCGACTCCCCCTACACATAAACCTCTTTCCAAATGGGGTAGCCCAGGCTCCAGTTATACCTAATCCCACTCTCCTACCAGGTTTCTGCCCACACCAGCCTTTTTTTTTTATTATTCAGTCCTTGTCAGTCAGAAAGAAAAGGTGGGCTGACAGCACCATAAAAACCTGCCTTGTTCAGCAACGGCTTAGAGCCCCCGGGGCCACCTGAGGGTGCCAAGCTGCTGGGCCATGGCTCTTCCAGCAGCCTGTGGCCTCCCTTACGGGGGCCAAGGTCCCTGAAGTTCTGCCTGGGAGGTGCCCATCCTCCAGGTCCCTCGGAAACTGGGCCCCAGCGCCTCTGCCCAGTGCCCGCACCTCTCAGCCTCTCCCAGAGACTGGGCCCTGGAGGAGCCGGGAGTGAGGTAGACTGTGAGTTAGTCACTTGGCTTCCCCCGCCCAGGCCAGGGCGGAGGAGGGCACCTCTCACCCCTTCCTGTGGTCCTCGTCCCTCGAAGTGGGTGACGTCATGGCCTGGACCCCCGGCCACTGCCCTCTACCCACGGCTCCAGCTGGCCAGAACCCTGGCAGCACCAATGGGGTGGAGAGTGAGGAGGAGAAAAAGACGGTCCTATTCAGCACGGCCTCAAGATGCAGAAGTCCAGCTCCTGGGGCTTCCGGCGCAGGTTGCATTGGTCCCGGGCCAGCAGCCGCCCTCCGGGGCCCAAACACTTGAGTGGACGCCTCTTAAACCCCCGGCCGCAGCTCTTGGAGCAAGGCGACCAGGCGCCGAGCTCCCAGGTCGGGCAGGGCTCCCCACAGGCTCTTGTCTCCACCGGCCGATGGGCTGCACTGCAGGCGGATGCCGCGCGTGGCCCGGGGGGCCCGCGACAGTCGACCGCCCGCTTCTGCAGGCCACTGCCACAGCTCACAGAGCAAGGTCCCCAGCTGCCTGCCACCCAGCGTGCAGGGGGCCTGTCGTCCTGCTGCTCCACTTGATTGGAGAGGCTGAGGACGCTGTTGTGGTGCACAGAGGAGCCCCGGGGTTCCTTGGCGTGGGAGGCCTTGTCTTCCCAAGGCTCTTTGGGCAGATAGAAGGAGTAGCGGACCCGGGGTGGCGTCATCTTGCCCACGGAGAGGACCTCCACGGTCAGCGGCTCCAAGATGGGCCGGGAAGCCTGCAGGCTCTCCACCGCCGTCCCCGTGCCGCTGTAGCGCAGGAGGCTGCCCTTCACCACCAGGTCCCGCTCCACGGCCGACACCACGAAGTGCCCGTTGAGCAGGTACTTGCCTTGGCTGTTCTTCAGGGCCAGGTAGTTGTCATCTCCAATCAGCCCCTTGTAGCCACGCTGGCGGATGTCAATGCTCGAGGCGCCCACGGGGATGGCCACCACAAAATTGTAGCCGTGCCTGGGGTGGGAAAGGGGACTGTGCCTTAGACAGACGCCTGGACATAAGGCCCTTGTTCCCCACAGAAGTCACAGCTGATTCACATTCCACAAACCCAGTGGCAGGTCACCAAGATGGCAGGGAGGGTACAGAGACTAACCAGACAGCTTCAACCACCCCGAGGGAGGTCAGGGGGGACACGCAAACTGAAAGGCAGTATGAGAGTGTGTCACCACATCATCTAGAGCTGCATACCCTGGCTGCGATCTTTCTTCTTCAGTATATTTATATTGTGGTGAACTCTTTTTAAAAAAGGAAAAACATTTATTTATTTGAGAGACAGAGAGCAAGAGCAGGGGCAGGGGCAGAGGGAGAGAGAGAATCTCAGTCAGACTCCCCAGTGAGCTCAGAGTCCCAACGCGGGGCTCGATCTCATGACCCTGAGATCGTGAGATCATGATCTGAGCCGAAACCAAGAGTCTGATGCCCAAGCGACTGTGCCACCCAGTGCCTCTATAACATGGTGAATTCTGAGGCAGAGTAAAGCCAAGGTTTTGGAGCCAGATCCATCCCTACTCCTGACTCAGCTGTTGGCCTTGGATAAGTCACTTAGCTTCTCAGTTGCCTCACCTGGAAAATGGAGATCATAATCCCACATACCTCATTAAAGCACATAAAGCCTATGACATGTACCTGCCACCCCCAGTAAGCACTTAATATATATTAACTGTGAGAAGGATGAGGAGGAGCGGCAGACAATAAGTCTACCATCCCTGACTCCAAGGCTGGGGCCAGACACCCCATTAAGACACGCTGGCCCTGAAGTCGGGCACCCAGATCAAGCCTTGGACACCAACTCCCTGGTGGCTCAAGCAAATCAGTCTCTCTTGGTTCCGGTGTCCTCACCTATACAACGAGGGGGTCAAAATAGACGATTTCTAAGTCTCCTTCCAGCTCCACTCATCTATGAAAGGAGCACCTGCCATTTAGCCAGTGAAGCAAGTCTGGGAGTGTTTACCTTTAATTCTCCACTTGGCCTCCCTCTCAGACCCCTGAGAACGCCATCCACCTGCAGTGCCCCCAGTTCCCAGAAAAGTCGCCCAGCTAGGGGCCCAGCAGAGAGTGCTGTGTCCAGAGGGGCAGCCAAGACTCCTGAACAGCCATCTAGGCCTTGGACTCCCAAGTTTTCAGAGCCCACCATATCCCTGCTCAACTGAGACCTCGGGGGCTCTGCTTTCCCCAGCTTCTTCCAGAGCATGGGTCAGGACTTTCCAAGGAGCACATACCCCCTGAAAATAAAAGGGAATATGCTGGACTTCGGAAAGCCAGGAGCCCCGGGCTCTGGAGGTGGGAATCAGAGAGGCCTAGCGACACTTCTTCAGCTGACCCTGCACACATCTCCCAGGAAGGGGGAATCCCTCGGTCCTAGCCTCCTGCTCTGCTGTTTATTGCCATTCTCACCTCAATCTCATCCCCGAGGACAGGGCCTCAGCCTCAGTGAGATGGGGAGGCTGTCACATTTGTTTCCAGGCATGTTTTGTTTTGTGATTATCATCATGAACATTTAGTGAGCATTTATTATGCACCAAGTACAACACTAAGCATTTTACTTGGATTAACACCCTTATTCTTCACAACAGCACGACAGGAAATATATTCATGTCATACCCACTGTATAAGTGAGCAAATCCAGAATACCAAAGATTGTGTCACATGCTCGAGGTCATCCAGAAAATGGAGAACTGAGATTTGAACATGGGTGAGTCTTATTCTAGAACTCTAGATAGACCCTAATGACTTTCTGCCATCTCCCTAACTAGCCTCTCCTCTTCAGTGGTGGACTCTGCAAGCATTCATCTCTACTGGATGGATGGATGGATGGATGGATGGATGGATGGATGGATGGATGGATGAAGAAATGAATGAATGAGTATCACACTCGCAGAAGAGTCCGAGGGGCCTCTACAGTATAAGGGCACTGCCCATTTACCCCAGTCTGACCCAAGCTTTCACCGCCTGGGGTCAGCTCCACTCAGCCCTCCTCCCCCTGCTCCAGGACCCAGAACTCACATGGGCTTGGTGAAGAGGCCTGTCACCTTCTTACAGCTCTTATTGTCACCCCCACACACGCCACACTTGTCGAATTTCTTCTTGGAACCGAGGTTCCCGTCACAGCCAGCCTTGATGCACTTGCCTTGGACACAGACCGAGGTGGAGTCAGGAGTGCAGGGTGTGCCATCCACCACCTGCAGTGCCCCCCGTGGGGCAGAAAAGGAGAGAGGGGCAGCTCAGCCGGCTGGATCCCCAAAGACTTTCTCTCTGCTTTGGTCTCCTGCCCCGCGCTCACTCACCTTGGGTGCCAACACGTAGAAGTAGCCGGTGCCATTGGCTCGGCAGATGAGCTTGCACTTGTCCCGGGGAGAAACGCCGGAGTACTTGGGCACCCACGCCACGGCAAGGGTGAGCCGGTTGGTGCTATGGTTATAGCCATTGAAAGCCTCACACTGCTCCTCCCGGAAGCTCTTGCCTGAAGCTGAGGAGGGAGGAAGAACAGGCAGGAAGCTAAAGGGACGGGCGGTGTAGGGAGAGCCCTCCCCAGGATGCTCAGCCACCTGCGGATCTCAGCAGCTCTTACCCTCAGCCAAGTTATCCTCATCACTGACGCCACTCCATGTCAAAGAACTAAAGTAGGCTAGGACCAAAGGATGCAGGTCACAGAGCATCATGCATCCGCCAGGCACTGTGCCACCTTCCACAGTAATCTGGACTTCAATTCCCTCTATAACAGGTATCCCGGACAGTTTGGGGCTATCAAACCCTCCAGGAGTCTTTTGAAACTATTTGCAGAATGTTATCAAGCGGATAAAATAAATCACATAGGTTACAAACAATACCGATTATATGATATACAACTATCAATATATATTGAAACATATTTGTGATACTTGCGCTTCCTTGTTAACCCATTACATAACAAGATTCAGTGATGAGTCTAATAACCACTGTCATTTTCAAGCATTCTGAGAAACCCCAACAACTGAAATGCCATATGAAAATATCCACGATTTCTATTGGTGACAGAGTCATGGGTACTAGTAGTATTACAGGTTTGCCTGATTAAAAGAAATAATAAATTTTAGATAGAAAGAGTAGTAATAAAAATATTAAATTTCTAATTGAAGGAAATTTTAAAAGGCTAGTAAAAATAGAGATGTAATTTCCTTCCCACCCAAGTTCATGGACCCTGGATAAAGAATTCCTGCTTATGAAGATGGGCTTGTAAGCTCTTAACTAAAGGGCCATCTGGTGTGTCATACCCTTGGGCCACTTAGCATCCCAGCCTAAGCATCAAGAAGAAAACACTCCTGCCCAAGGGGAGTGGGCAAAGAAGTGATCCCAAGAGGAATCTGCTCCTTGGCACTTCCAGACTTTGCGCTAGGGGAGAGAATCTTGACTGTGTAATTTGCAGCCAAGAAGTGGGGGGGAGAGGGGGGGCAGGGGGAGGGGCCCTCCCCTCCTCACCTGAGCTGGGGCAGGGCTCCAGGTTGCAGGATCGGTATTTCACTCTCACTCCCTCGCAGTACTTGCCCCCGTTGGCAGGGGTGGGATTGCGGCACTGCCTCCGGGACAGCTGTACGCCCCCACCGCAGGTGCGCGAGCAGGCGCCGTAGGGCTCCCATTTGGCCCAGGAGCCGTCCACCTATGAGAAAGAGTCCGTCTTACACCTGCAGGGGTTGGGATGCACATCCACACCCTGACCCTGCAGAAGAGTTACACGGGTACAGCCTCCATGATCCCATCCCACCAGAAGGAAATCCACTGTGTATCCCAAGGGAAAAATGACAAGCAAATGGTCAGCATACACAGCGCCCACACAACACTTCAACCTGGTAATTAGCAAATGCCAGCCACACCCAGTTATAAGTGAGGTTGCTCAGAAGAGAGACCTCTTTGAGCTCTGGGCTCGGTGGCCAAGTTCTATCATCGCCTCTGCCCTCACCATATGGGTGGCCTTGAGCAAGTAGTAAAACCTCTTTAAACTTCAAGTGCTTCGTCTGCAAAAATGAGGCCAATAATACTCAGGTGTGAGATCAGACAGAAGTTTAAATGATGCGACGTGTATGAAAATTCCTAGCACTGTGCTTGCCACCGAACAAGAGTTCAGTTTCTCCTTACCTATTGTTAGTGTATTTACAAAAGTCTCTAAATCTACAGTAGAGGCAGCCCCCAGCCTTGCCAGGAAACCTTGTTGCCATAGATGTCTGAATATTTTTATTTGTAAATGTTCCATAATTCCGACTTCTCTCCAAACCAGACTGAACCAGATCTTAGGCTCAATCAGCGGCTGAATTTAAGAAAGTTTCACCATAAGAGGTTCTAATGTTTGTGCTCGGAGGAGATGAGGATAGGAAACTACAAAGCAATCCCAAAACTCTATTTGGCTTCAAGGTGAATTAGGCAGTGTTGTTTCATTTTTTAAGAGGGTGGAGAAGGGATAGAAAATGTATCCTCTTCATTATGTTTTTCATACGATGCCAGTAAAGCAAGTTTTCATCCCCTGAACTCACATCAGTCAGGCAACAGAGGAAGCAGCCCAGTTGTACAAGCCTGGGATTAAAATGCTGTCATACGTCATCCAAAGTGACTAACCCGCATGGAGCTAATCAGGAACTGGCTGCATGTCATCTAAATACTTTAACTTATGCCCACATGCAGCATAGTTATTCTATCTGCCCTTCTGTCGTATAGTTCTTGCTTCATGGTGTCACCATGTCTCTCCTCCTATGAAAGAAACACTTGCCAATAGCCCTGCTTCTTCCTCCAATAACGTCCCACCTCATTCCAGCCTTCCATTTCCTAAGAGGGTCTACATTTGCTCCTTGCACCTCTTCCCTCCGCAGTACCTTGCAATATGGGCTTGGTCCCCATCACAGCAGGGAAGCTCCCTCTCAAAGAGATGACCATCCATAAACTGAAAGAGTCTAAGCTTAGACCTCGTTGTCTCCAGTTTTTCTTCAGTTCTTAACATTGTCTCTGTGGCTTCTGAGATGATGCTGTGTGGTTGTAGTTGTTGTTGTTGTTGTTGTTGTTGTTGTTACTATTGTTTTTAGCCTGGTATCACTTTTTCCTACCTGTTCCTACAGAAAACATTCATCCCCCAGAAAACACTCCTGCCCTGCCGTGTGCCATTCATTCACCAAATATTTGTTGAATTCTTACTAATGGCTGGTGCCATGTGCAGCAAATCCCTGCCCTCGAAGTGACTGCATCCCAGCAGAAAAAACTAAAAATAAGCCAGTGCATACAGAATGTCAGGTGGGAGAGGGACGGAGGGAGGGCCTTGGTGAGGTGGGCTGCTCTATATTACAGGGGGTCACAGAGGCTTCACTGTAGAGGTGACAGCAGTGCAAAGGCCTGAAGGAAGTACGAGAGGGACTCGCACAGATATGAGGGAAAGAACTCTAGGCAGAGGGAGCAATGTCAAGACCCTGAGGAAGGATGGGCCTGGAGTATTCCAGCATCACAAGAGCAAGAGAAGCAGGAAATGTAGGCAGAGATAGGGTTCACCATCCTGAGCATGGAGGAGAGCCCCTGAAGGGTTCTGAGCGTGTGGCATGACCTAACCTACTTTTAAAGGATCTCTCTCGCTGCTATGGTGGGAACAATCTGTGAGGAGCAAGACCAGCAACAAGGAGATCAGTTAGGGTGCAAGACCAATAATCCAAGGTAGCTTGGCGTGGGGTGATCACAGATAAGGTAGTAAAAAAAAAAAAGGCTCAATTCTGGCTCTATTTTGAAGATAGAGTCAACAGAAATTACTGAAATATCAGATGGATAGATGTGAGAGAAAAAAGGGTTGGCACGAGCAGCAGGAGGATGGAGTTGCCAAAGCAGGTTCAGGACAGATGATCAGGAGCTTGGTCTTACAGATGTTATGTTTAGGATGCTTATCAGTTATCCACATGGAGGCATCAAGACTCAGTGAGGCATGCCAGTCTGTAGTTCAGGACAGAGGTCTGGGCTGGAGATACAAATCTGGGGGACTTCAACATATAAATGTAAACGGTACTTAAAGCCTTTGGTCTAGATCACCTAAGAGGTCAGTGTGGATAGTGACAAGGGCTAAGGACAAAGCTAGAATGCCTAACATTGGAAAAACAAGAGTGTGAGGAAGACCCAGTGAAGGGGACCAGAAGGGGCAGCTAGTAAGGGAGGAGGGAAACCAAGACACAGTGGAGCCTGTGTTCCCAGGGGAGATGGTAATCAGCTGTATCAAATGCTGCTAACAGGTCAGGCAATATGAGGAATGATAATCAATCACTGACTTCAGCAGTGTAGAGGCCATTTGGCAACCTTAGTGAGAGTTATTTTTAGAGGAAGAGTAGGACTGAAAGCCAGACTGGAATGGGCTCCAGAGAAAAAATGGCAAGACGCGAACTGGAGAGAACAATTTCATACCACTCTTTCCAGGAACTTTGTGGGAAGGGGAGTCAGAGAGATACACTGTAATTTATGGAGAGGAAGTAGGATTAGGAGAAGTTTCGTTTAAGGTGGGAGGAATTACAGCAAGTTTGTATCCTGATAGGAATGATTCCACTCAAGAGAGGGGAAATCTGACACTGCAGAAGAGAGATCAAGAATTAAAGGAGTGTTTTCCTTGAAAAGAGGGGACAGTATCCTAAGTGCAAAGCACAGCTCCGGGCCTCTGATGAGAGCATGGACAGCTCATCCATCGCAAAGGAGGAAAGGTAGATATTACAGGCACCGAAGAAGGGCAGACGGCGGATGTGGCGGTGGGAGATGGTGGAAGTTCTCTTCTGATTACTTGATTGCTTTTTTTTTCTTAATGAGATAGGAAGAAAGGTCACGGGCAAAAGTGGAAATGAGGAGAAAGAGTCGGTAATGGAGGAGAGAAGCGAAGGTGTGACATGATCATGTAGGACGCTGGGAGGGCGGGCCCACCTACATTGTCAGGTTATGAGTTCAAACTGAAACCGCTGAGCATGGTTCCATGTCTTTCTCCAGCCACACTCACCCACAATAGCACAGTTGAACACATGGGAGCTGGATTCCACCAGGGCAGTGCCTTATCCAAGCGAGTATAGCTGAGAGAGGCCCGAACATGGGAGCCATGAGTGTACATGAAGAAGTGATTTTAACAATGGAATCTCAAGAAGAAGGTTGATGAGGGCATGAGAAGAGCAAGTGGGACTGAAGAATTGTTGGAGTCCAAAACTTAGAGGGCTGGACAACAGGGCCTTGGTGGTCAGAATTAAAGGAGATCGTGCAACTGAGATCCCGGGGAGCCAGGGAGGCTGCATGATTAGGAAGATGAAGTTTGTGCTTTGACCTCTGCTGATTAGGGCAGCGTCCTCTGTGAAGGGCCAGGGTGGTAAAGGGGATTGTCCAGAGAAGAGATTGAGGACATAGCGGATTTTGCTGCTGATGGACTATCTTTCTATATGCTTCTCAGATCACATTTCCTATATCCAATATCCTCTTGGGCAACGTCTTTATCCGCTAGACTCATCTTCCCAAGAGAAGGAGCTGACCACGGTTGGTCTGTCCTCAGGACCTTCTAGTTTAAACCCACAGCCTGATGGTCAAAGCTACCCCAGACTAGCCCTGAACCATGCCCCCAAAGATCTTTCCCAAACAGCCGTCATTCATCCACCCCTCCAGCTTGCCCCACCTCCCTAACTTTGCTCCATCTCTGCCTGATGAGAGAGCCTACTCATCCCTCAAGACTCTCTTTAAATCTGACCTCCTCACCGAAGTTTGTTCAGACCTCTCTAATCATCATTAATCTCCCATCCCTTATTCTCCCATGACACGTTTTCACACTTCAGTCTTAACACACAACACACACGTCTCTGCGTCTCGGACCATAGTAACATTTCTAGTTTCCCCACTAGACAGTGAGCCCACTGAGAGACAGCCCAGGTTTTATTTCTTTTTCTGACTACCACATTACCTCACACAGTTCTCTAAATACAGTGGGCTGGTGCCCAATAAATGGCTAATGGTTTAATTAAATATAGGTTTCCAAAACACAGAAAAAGATTTTACATAATTGTGTACCAAACCCAGCTCAGGGCAGCCGATACGTCCATGTACATAAAACCCCCAGTCAAGCCCCTCTGCAGCCGAGGCAGGGGTGAGAAAGGGATCATCCTCACCAGGATCAAGGGAGAGGATGGATGTCTTATTCCTGTCTGAAAAAGTCCCAATCCCTTTGCGACCCCAACCCCAGACCTGAAGAGTTTATTATATTCAGAGAACATGTGGGGTTTGGGATTTGTTCTGATTCAACTGTTATTCCTTTTTACCAGGAAAAAAATAACTTTTGCCCTATTATGTTTCAGCTTCAAAAAACAATCTTGACAAAAAGTGAAGCTGGGTTCGGGATGCAGCAAATTACTGCAGCTTTGCCCAGGGATCTGCTTCCTTTCAGCTCTGAGGCTGGCTCACCTCTGGCCCAGAGCTCCCTGGAAACAAAACACGTTCAGAAATAGCTGATACGGGGAGGCTGGAAGGAGCCAACAAGTGAGGAATGTCGAATAGCTAGTGTTGGGCTTTGGGTTCAGAGCTCCTCCCCAGGTAGGATGAGGCCCAGAGCTGAGGGCTGGACCTCCTGGCGCCCCGTGAGAGACTTCTCTCACATGTCTGAGGAAGGTTTCAGCAAGTTCTCTGACCTACCGTATGTCTTGTCTCCAGTCTCAGAGTCAAGACGGGGAGAGGACCACGGACAGGGAAACAGAGGCACAGCGCTGCAAACCTGTTGCCCCTGGAGGCCTCCGAGTCCACCCCCTGCCTCCCAGCAGCCCCGATGCGCAGCTCCCACACACTCACCCTGTACTCATTGAGGTTATGTCTCTGCACACAGGTCCCCTTGAGGCAGAACTTGCCTTCGCCGCAGCTGGTGCCGTCTGCCCAGGGGAAGTGGCGGGTCTGGCACACCATCTGCCCCTTTGCCTTGCCAGTGCACCACAGCTTGGTGCAGTACTGCATGTAGGGACAGGGCTTCGAGCCCACGCCAAAGGCCAGCTCACACTGCTGGCTCAGGGTGTAGCTGGCCCCTGGCAGGTCCTCAGGCAGGGAGATGGGCTTGCTGGGCGGGTCCAGGAGACAGTCGCCTGCAGGGAGCCAAGGGCATTCGTGAGAGAGGAGTTGAGAAAGGTGGGATGTGGCTGGCCCAGAGTCTAAATGGTAAGGAGACAATGAAGCAAGGTCCAGTGGAATGGACCCCCTTGAGAGCCCGACTCTTTGGGGTCACGCATGCCTTAGACAATAGAAGACAGGTCCAGAGAGGTGGTGAGCACTCTCTCCAGGGACAAATCCACATCCCTCCTCTGTCCTCCTGGCTTACCATGCCCACTATCCAGGAAGTCGGTGATGATGGCAGCGCTGCAGGCTGACCAGGGGTTGGCACGGTCAATCTGGATGAGTGTTGGAGACATCATGTGGTTGGCTCGGAGTTTCCCAAACACCTCCTCACACACTTTCACATTGTCATGGGGCATGTTGAACACGTGGCCTGTGGGGTGAGGCAAGAGGACTCAGAGGGCAGAAGGATGTGGGCTCTGCAGTTTTAAAAGGAGGGGGGATCAGCTGGGGAAGCTAGAGAGCCTATGTCAGCAATTTTCAGGATGGTCATTTCGACCTAGCGATAGACTGCTTTGCAAATGTCAAGATGGTGTTCTTGCGTTCTCGGTCCTGTCCATCAGGCTGTGGGCTCAGTGAGGACAGCAGGGTATTTAAAATATTCTCCCCTTAGTGCCTAATTGATGAGATATTCTGGCTGCTGAGTCAGACAATATCGCTGGCCAACTGTGCTGGGGCAATAGGAAAAAATAAAACAAAGCCATTGCTAAGGCAGACTCTGACCCTAAGAAGGAATCCCTAAGGCTTTAGGACATGAGGAAGCAAAGACAAATGTCTACCCCCTGCCCAAAGCACCCAGGACAAACCCAGAAAGACCCCAGAAGGGAGTCCTCCCCGCTCCACCCAAGAACCCCCTCTAGCCTTACCCAGCTCATGGGCAGTGGTGAAGGCTGATGGAAGCCCATCATCCTCGATCACAGAACAACTTCTCTTGGGGTCGCACATAGTGCCCACATCAGCCATGCCCAGCGTGTCACAGGTGGTAGCCCCACACAGGTCCTGCCGGGGGGGGGGTGGGGAAGCAGAAGCCAGCCAGAAATTAGTGACAGGTACAGAAGGGACCTGATGGGAAGAAAAGGCATCCTATGGGATGTTGCAGCTCATCCCCGCTCCCCATCCAACCAAGCCCAGCACCTTCCTAGCCAGGTCCTTTCTCCCAAGGGGTTGCAGGGCTATTCATGGAATCAACCCAGGCTGAGGGAGGAGGCTTCAGGAAGAAAGCCCTGTGGCTCTCTAAGATTCTACCCAAATCCTACTCAGGGAGATCCTGTAAGGAGGTTCAAAATTAAACCACAAGGCCATTGCTTTATATAGAGACAGATTTCCAAACCAGAAAACGGTGAGTTCCACAGCTGGGCGAGGTTCTGGTCAGGGCTGACTGAGGCAGGTGGGGGCGGAAGGTCAGTGTGTTCCTCATCCGGAGTCAGCCCTGAGCCATCTCAGTCCTTGCTGAGCGACTGCCTTTGGACAACCATGAATTAAGCTCAGATTCTCAGCCAAAGGTTCACGGGCCAAGGACCCGCCCAAACCAAAGATTTGGCTTCCTTGGGCTGGGAGGGGGCAGACTGAGGTGGATACGAGCTGCTATCCAGACACAGCTCAACTGGCTGCAAAAGCTCAAGGGGACCCCTGGCTCAGTGGCTGCTAGGAAGAAAAAAGAAATGGATCACCGCCTAAGATAGTCCCTCCTTTTGTACTAAAACTTGCAGCGGACGCCAAGACTTCCTGCAACAACCCTATTGGGAAGCACTTCCAGGGATGTGAAAGGGCAAAATGGGGTACTGGGGGCAGATATCTCAATGAATTTATTGAGCACCGTGGGCCAGCAATGCACCTACATACCTTAAGAGCCCTTATCACTTAACAGAGAAGACACTGTTGAAATCAGTGATACTGGGACTGTCTTCATTACATCCTTGCCTTTCTTTAGAGTTAACAAGAAACTACTCTAGGTATCATAATCCCCAGCAGCATTAGGCGGCAGATATATTATTATACCTATTTGTCAAAGGTGAAAACTGAGGCTCATGCTCATAGTTAATCATGGTGATGATTTATTAAATGCTGACATCGTGTGTGCACTTCACATGCATGACCATATTTCATCCTCGCAAGAGCCCACTGGAAGAATGACAGCTATTAGCACCTTCCGCAGACAAGGAAGCTGAAGCTTAGAGAGGTCCAAGTCGCACAGCAGAAACGTGCACTGGGGTCTGTATGATTGGATATCATCAGCACTCTTTCCACCACGTCAAAGCTGATTCCTCAGCAACTCCTAAGTTAACTCTCCGGAGAAAGAGCTGTGTGTGTTCTCCATGGGAGCCAAGGTGTCCGCATAAACACACCCAGAACTGTTCTCAGTTTTCATTCCCTTTAGGGCTATGCGCACGTGCGTGTGCAGGCACATGCTGACATGGGGGGAAAGGTGGGCAGCAGACTTAGTGGGGCCAGGGGGCAAAGGAGGAAAGTGGTCAGAGTACAGAAAATCAGCAAAATTTAATCCAGAGCACTCAGAAGTTTACCACCTGAGCAGTCAAACTTGGCTTCCCATGGTCAGGTGACAGTCACACCTCCTAATGAGTTAACAGTTTCTCTGGCCAAAGAACTGAGAGGGCGATCAGACTCCAGAGTACACCGGTCATCAATGAGTGATGCATGCCCAGCCTTGATCTGCTGTCCTGGGCTCACATGTGGCATGTCTGCCACTTCGGGGAACCCTTGGGGTGAACCTCAAATTCCCTATCTTCCAAATACTCTTCCCTCTCCAAAGGCTCACCCTTCCTGAAAGCTCTCCTTCCGCTAGAGTTCTGAAACCTAGAAGAGTTTGGGAGGGGAAGTCCACCAGACAAGCAGTTTAGGGAATATGACTGCTGAGGAACAGGACTGGGTCGCACAGAACAGCCTGTGAATGGAGGGAAAAGGGGGCAAGGGACCAAGAGGGAAGGAATGGAGGTTTGCATGGGGGCATGGGGCAGGGCGTGGGAGAACTGGGCTCATTTGTCCCTGGGACATCCCCACTAAGGCAGGAGTCTCTGAAAACTCTTGTCTGGTGGTCACAGCCCATAAGGAGAGCCTGTAGGACAAACACGACACTACCCCAGGGCCACCATGCACACTCACTGCTGACTTTGTGTAAGAGAAAGGGCATGGGAGGAAGAACCAAGAAGGCTAGATTCTTGTCCTGGCCCCACCACAAAGTAGATGTGTTACTTGGGGCAGGTCACTTCTCTCCTCGAGGCCTCAGTTTCCTCCTCCGAAGAAGGGCCAATTCTCAACTAGAACCCAGACTGGACCAGTGCCTTGATTAAGCCTCTGCTCCTGCCCCGATCCCAGGGTGCTCGGCCCCTTTTGGCCCTCTAGGTTATAAAAGGAACACACAGAATGATATACTTGAGAATGGAAAGAACCCTGATTTGTCTACTAACCCATGACACTAAATCCCAGAAAAGGGAAGGTCACCCACGTGGACATTCAGAGTCCTAGCCGCTGCCCTGCTCAGCAGAAATGGTGAGGCCAGATTGACAGCTCAGCCACTGGACCTCCGCTGCCCAGCAGCCCGCCTCTGCCACTGGAAGGTCCTTAAAGCCAAGAGCCTCCTTCCTCTCTGGGAGGGTGGATTCTCTCTGGAGTGAAGACATGCAGCTGCAGGCCCTTCCTGGCCAGGAGCAACCTGTTCTTTCCATCAAGAAATCCCGGTTTCCCTGGATCAAACAAGAGGAACAAGGAAGGAGCCGGCAGATTTCCTGAGGGTCAGGGTGTAGCTGAGAGCAGCCAGCCTGCAGTAACCAGTGTCTTCACTGTGGGAAGATGCAGCTGTTTGGGGTCAGAGGCTCTGCCTGTCCCTCTTCCCCCAGTCAGGGACTTCAGCGAAGAATCGCTGGACCTGAGTTCTTTGAACGCCCACAGGCGAGTGCGCAGGGCTCAGAAGCGCCTCATTTGTGGCACTGAATGTCTCCACCCTTCTGGAATGAACTCAGATGCACTCAAATGGCTTTAACCTCTTCAGCTCAGGCACTTGTCTCCAGGAATAGAAACTGTTCGGGTTCCTTCTGCCTGGAGAGTGTAGGCACTTCCCACCCAACCCCTACCTACCTCACTATTTCTGGTAATTTGCCATTTCTCCTTGAAGCTGCGGCTGCTTTTCCAGATGACCCAAGAATCATCTTGGCCAAGAACCTAGCCCTCCCAGATTATTGTTTTCTAACTGTCCTTCTTCATAAAATAATTCAGGATTGGAGCCACGGTTTGAGAGAAAGCAAGCAGGCAAGCACCTTGCAGTGGCCCAATCCACATTTCCCACGCTCACTCCCACCATGCCCCACCAGGACTCCCCACAGGCCTCCTTCTCACCTCCTCTCATTTCCCCCTGCCATGTACTGTGATGCTCATATTTTCCAGCAGTATGGAGGGTGGAGGACCCACATAAATCAAGCACGTTAACATTTTTTTAACGTAGCAGAAGACACATGTTCTCATGTGGCCAACTTCCTACTCATGGAAGGGCTTCATGGCCACACCATAGCACCCGAGTATCACACTCACACAACCCCAGAGCCATCCTCTCATTCTGCAGATGGGGAAACTAAAGCTCAGTGGACTAAGATTGCTCACCCAAGGCCACACAGTTATTAACATGGGAACAGGACCCCATGCCTTTTGATACCAAGGCCGGCAATGGTCTTCAGGCTGAACCACAGCATGCTAGTCAGGATACCATAATTACTATTGAAATTACTATTGAAAACCACCCCGCACTGGTATTAATACTGCACCTTTACTGGTTTCCCATCTGAATTTCTGTCATGCATCACTGTATTTCCTTGTCCAACCCCAAATCCACTGCTGTTTGAAATCCCCAAGCATGGGATTGCGATCCTGGGTGTCTGGGCAATGTGGCTAAGGATGCCTGGTGAAGAAGAGAATGCACCCTGGTGACGTCCATCAGCAGGTTCGGTTTCGTTAGAATATAAATTCCTCAAGGTGTACAAAATGGTATCACAGTGGGAGACTGAGATAACCGAGACAAGAATTACCTCAATGAGGAAGAACAGAAATCTGAAGCTTGCAGGAAGACCAAGCTTTCTCCAGAAATCATCAGTTCAAGAGAGGGTACACACCTAACATAATGTTGATAGTGGACACTTACTGAGTTGCTACTGTGAGCCAGACACTGTTCTAAGAGTCCTGTATTAGCTCATTGAATCTTCACAAAGGCTTTATGAGGGAGATGCCATTATTGGGCCCCATTTTACCGATGAGGCTCAGAGAAGGTAAGATGCTAGCACAGGGTCAGTGAGCTCAAGGTTAGACGGGAAGGGAGAGGCAGAGTGAAGTTTGAAATCCAGAAGTGCAGCCTCAGAGCTGAATGCTTCCCTTGCATTGGGACTGCTCCTGGTACAGAGGCCCCCCACGAATGAAGGGGCTAGGGAATCTCAAGATTCCCTCGAGACTGTCCACCCCTTACCCTGAGCCCCCAAAGCTCACATTGGCCACTGAGTGGGGAGAGACCTGGGAGAGGTCGGTAGAGAGGGAAATGGCAGGATTAAGAGCCAAGAGTGTTCTAGGCGCAGTGCCTGCACCCCCTTCCTGGTTGAGCAAGCTCTTGGTTCCTTGCCCCACACCTGCATTGACACACTGACCCCATCCCTGCTCTGCACCATGTCTGCTGGCTCCTCGCTGGGGCCTCTCCTTTCTCCAGGGCAAAAACTGATGGCAAAGAGCCAAGAAGAAATGCCAGAAGAACCTAAGACTCCCTCTCCCAACCCTGCAGCCTGACAGCTACAAACACTGGATTAATGATCCCTAGTAAGGGAGGTGAACTACCTAAGCACCCAAAGCCACACACAGTCCTTTTGCTAACATCAGTGCCTTCTTCCCATGAATACATACTGAACAGCGGCAGCTGCATGCAGGGGCCCACTGGAGGGGCTACAAAGATACAAAAAGGTCTTGCTTAAAGGAGTTTACATGTCAGTGGGAATGGCAAATGCTGGGACCATGGTTTCCACACAAAAACAGACAAATATTAAGTATACTTGCAAGTGCAAGGTGACAGAATGCTT